CCCCGCCTTCCCTCTGAGTTTCCTCAGTCTGCTCCAGGCTTCTATGTCTCTGGACCTATTTTGTTCATCAGTTTAATTTGTTCATTAGATTCCACATATGAGTGAGATCATGTGATACTTGTCTTTCTCTGACTGGCTTATTTCCCTTAGCATAGTACTCCTGCTTACTCTTAAATTTTAGTTAAAAGGGCCCATTTCCATGCAGGACTTCTCTAACCTCCTGTCAATGTCAAATCCTTTTGTGTGCTTCTTGGCACTTATCACATATTTATTCATGTGCTTTTTGCTTGATGGATACTTCTCCCAATCACCTAGGAGAGTAGGAACCAGGCCTGCTGTCCCCAGCTCTTACACAGCACATGGTCCAAAACAGTCCCTTAACATCTGTGGAATGAAGACCTGAATCACTGAGACATCAGGTTTATGTCTTCAGTTTACCTCCAGTGGGTAAGAAGTGGGGGAATGTGTCCCAGTGAAACCTCTTCCCTGACCCCCGTCTACTCTCGTGGCCCCTCTCCTCAGGCTACCGTCTTAAGCTAAAGGCCTAGTTCAGATGCAGAGTATGAACTCTGGGTACCTGTGATGCTGCAAAACTACAGCCTACTATAATTCGTTAATTTTGCACTGATCTAAACCACTAACCAACCCCTTCCAGAAGGTTCTTCCCATGTATAATTTATATACAGTGGGTAACAGAATTAAATCTTTTTTTTTTTTTTTTTTAATATATCTTTATTGATTTCAGAGAGAGGAAAGGAGAGGGAAAGGGAGAGATAGAAACATCAATGATGAGAGAGTCATTCATTGAGCCCACAACCCGGGCATGTGCCCTGACCGGGAATCGAACCCCGATTGCCTGGATCTTAGGTCAATGCTCAACTGCTGAGCCATGCCCGGCTGGGCTAAATCTTTTTTCAATTCTGGTCCCACCTGGCAAAATTTTGTTGCATAAATCTGGGTCCAAGCTTAGCAAGTTTTCAGCAATTGGGAGAAAGTTTTGAAACAGTAAACAGGAAAAGACAATAAAGGGTGGCTCTGACTCCGCCTATGAAGACAGATTTCACATGGAACTGATAGAAAAAAATTTTCCCAACAAAATACAGTGCTATGAGCAGAGGAGTCAGCCATCTCCAGCATGGTGGCTGGAAGAACCCAGTGATACAGTAATTGGTACCATAATAATGACCATTAAATTATACTCCTCAGGGTGGCCTTGGGCTAGTTTGGCTGGAACAGCCTGGACAGGAGGCAAGCAGCCCGCTGAGGAGAGAGAGATGACCAGCAAAGCCTCTGCGCCTAAAACTTTCCATCTGGAATTACTTAGGGAGTTTTTAAAAAAATAGCACTAGTCAAGGTCCCACTCAGACCAACTGAATTCTCTCTCTGGAGATTGGAACCCGTGCTCTCTAAAGAGCATGGTACTCTTTAAAAACTACCAGGCAAATCCAGTGTGTATCTAGGGCCAAGAGCCACTCCATTAGGCCCTGAGCCTTGGTCTCCTGGTCAGTATTTCTTAATTTCCATCTTCCGTCTCATGGGGAAGCTTTCTCCTCTTCAGGTGTCTTAAGCAGTAAGGTTCTTTTTCTTAGAGGGGTCCCTGCTTTCATCCCATTGACATAGAAAGATTGAAGATATTATTCTGCTATTATTACAGTGAGCCCTGGGAGCACCTCAAAGCTTTCTCTAGACTCAATGGATGCTGTCCTCCTGTCATTTTATTCCTCCAGCCTTAACATCTGCTCTCAACTTGCTCCTCACAGTCTAGTGCCATCCGCATTACCTGGGAGCTTTTTAGAAATGCAGGTTTATGGGCCTTACCTCAGCCCCCTGCGTCAGAATCTGCATTTGAACAAGTAGTGACTCATGTGCACACGAAAGTCTGAGAAACACTGTCTGGCAATACCCTTGTCCTTAAAGACCTGGCTGATTTTCTGAGGTTTTCCTGTTTCTTCTAGGTCTTTTCACACTGTCTGTAGTTTCCTTAATCATTTCTAAATCACAGAATATTAGAGATGACTGTGTTATAGAGATGAATCAATCTAGTCCCTTCATTTAATAGATCCATAAATTGACATTTCAAGGTTAAATTTACCTACTTAATGAAGAGATGGTCAAGAATTTCTAATTCATAATCTGTGTTTCAAGGTATAAGTAGCTCTGTAAATAACCACTGAACAGTTTTAAACACTAAAAATCCCATTCGTATTTTTGAATAGAAATACACTCAGTCTCTAGTTCATAATCTCAGAATGTCTAACACTCTTCAATATATAACAGGGCTATTGAGTTATATATAGCACTGAGATTCATATAATAAATGCACTATGATGTTAATAGCCTTTAAGAGTCAACCATGACACACATTTAGGCCCTCACCTTATGCTCACCCCTGATTTTGACAGTAAGGCCATGTCTGTGAGTGGTTTCTGGTAAAACACTGCAACTTCTCTTCTCTTTCAAATTGATTGGAACAGGCCAGTGAGCCCTAAAACGTTGTTTGAGAAGTGTTACTATAATTTTCACAAGGACTATAATTTTCAAGTCTGGATCACTCTAGGAGAGTGGTTTTCAAACACTAATCACCAGGGAGACCAGTTAAAACACAGACTATTGGGCCTCCTTTTGGATTTTGTGATTTCGTAGGTCTGGGATGGGGGCCAAGAATTTGCATTTCTAACAAGTGCCATGTGATGCCGATGCTGCTTTGGGGGGAGCAGATTTAGAGAACCACTTCCTTTAGACTGGGCCATATGAGGTCAGTCTATTAGTTTCAGAACTACTGTTAAAAATGAATTTCCACATTGGGGAGAAAAAGGGACATCTGTAATGTTTTAAACAGAAACAAACAAACAAAAAAGAGCAAAAAAAAAAATGAATTTTCATCTTCAGAGAAATGATTACAAGGTTCTTTTTAAATTTTTATTTATTGATTTTTAAAATTTTTTTTAGAGAGAAGAAGGGAGAGAGACAGAGAGAAATAGAAAAGTGAATTTGCTGTTCCACTTATTTATGCATTCATCGGTTGATTCTTGTATGTGCCCTGACCAGGATCAAACCCATAACCTTGGCCTATCAGCACGACGCTCTAACCATCTGAGCTACCCTACCTGCTTTCTGAACCACCAGCTCATAGGTGGGCTCTGATGTGGCCCTACCTGTGTGACAGGTACAACACATTCCTTGCTTAGTGCATCACTAGTTGTCTGCTCCTGCTTCCCTCTCAGCACAATCCTTGCCCTTCCCTTTCTCTCTCGGCTTTCATTCTTTCCCTTCTATCCCATCATTCCTCCTCTCATTATGTCAGAGAAAGCCTTAAATCTCTTTCTACTCCACTCCCCCTGAGAGGCTCCCATCCTGCCTTGCAATTGCCTTGTTACATCCAGGTAAAGGTCTTCATCCTTGGAAACTTCCTTCTGCTCCCTTCTTTCTCTTAAGCAATGTATCACTGCACCTCCTTAAGCAGTTATCCAAATCCTGTCCCATCTGATGTCACTTCCTCTCTTAACCCTAACAGGATTTCACTCTCCGAGAGCCACCAATGCCTGAGTAAAATTCCTAAGGCCTAACATCAGATTACTACCCAGGTTCAATTAAGGTTGATGGTATAGTTTCCAAGTAGAATTGGATCAGGGACAATTCTTCATCAAATAGCAACTAGGAAATGTGACTGAGATGGGCGCCGGGCTTACCGTGAACGAACCACTGCATCTGGAACCCTTTTTCTTCACCAACCCCATCGGTGTGGAACAGCACGTGAAGAACGGAGCCTGTGGTGCTCCCCGAAGGCGGCTTATCTGTTCCACAGTAGCGCCCCATCCTCTGCGCGCCATCATAGAGCTGAAATCAAAGAGAAACTTCCCGATGTAAAAACACTTCGCAGGGTTTGTCAGATGGAAAGAGCAAGGCCTACTCACATAGTGAAAGCTGTTCTTTGGTTCAAAAATAAAGGTTAAATCTGCTTAGGTGGGTCAAGTACCAGTTGCTTAACCTAAGAATGCAAAATAATTATATAGAGAGAGTCGTGGGGATGATTTCTAAGCCAAATCATCCAGAAATCCAAATATTGGTTGGTTTTATGTCAGCCTAGTAATCCCCTCCAAAGTATAATCTAGACATAGGATGAGGAACTAGTGGGCTGAATGAGATGTGTTCACATATTGACACATAAGAGAAGCTCAATAAACAGTACTGTAATTGTAAATGTAAATTTTAAATAAATGCTAAATATTTAAAAATCAGACATTTTAGAAAGCTATGAAAAAGGAAAATAAAAAATTAATCCCACTGAAGATAACCACTATTGATTTTTTTTAATACCAGAAGTTTAGCTTGCCAACATTTTTTTTTCATTTGCATATGTATATATACATATGTGTGTAGGTGTATGTATGTATGTGCATATAAATTTGGGTTACACATTTCATTGTGCTCCGTTTTATATTAAGCATGTCATTAAATATTTCCTGTAAATTTTTTAATGCTCACATAAGATGTTACTAATACATTATTTACATTATAATTCTGTTGTCATTTATTTAGGGTATTTCCAATATTTTTGCAAATATAAATATTTATCTAATATTTTACATTTCCCCTAGAAAAGATTCCTATAAGGGAAATGAATCAGAGTATAATCTTTTTTGGCTTCATGTATATTATTTAATTTCTTACCAAAAATTTATACCAATCTACCCTCCCACCGGCAGTTTACAGAAATTCTTTGTGCAGTGGAATTTTGGCAACTACGACTATTATTTTTAAAGCTGGTGCTGACAGTGAAAATTTGTGTGTGTTTTTGTAATTGTCTTAATTTGTGTTATTTTTAGGTTGAAGTTTTTTCATGTTTATTGGCCATTGATATTTCTTCTCTTGGAACTTTTTTGCTAAGGTCTTTGCCCATGTTCCCACTGAGGTATTTATACATCCTGTTGTACACGCTTTACCTGCCTCATTTAATAATTTCATCACATGCACAACTTTAAGCTAAAAAAATAAACCTCTCTGCCATATCTCTTCAATCAGGAAAGATAATCCAGAAGCACTGGCTTCCTCATAACCCAGGACATTATATTTTCTTTTAATCTCCTATGTTCACTTTAAACACTTTGTTCCAGCCACCCTTGGGATGAATGCCCATGGCAACAAAGTGAAAGGTATCTGATTATAGGCTCATGGACATCCCTGATGGGTCTCTTGGAGAGTGCACATATGTAAGAGTATGTGAGAGTATATGTGTTTGCATGTGTCTGTAGGGAAAATGTATAATCTGGATTCAACAAGTTCCAAATTGAACAAGTTATTATTATTTACTAAAATGTTATGATATAAAATACTGTGTGAAAGCCTGACTGGTGTGGCTCAGTTGGTTGTCATCCTGTGCCCCGAAAGGTTGCCGGTTTGATCCCTGGTTAGGGCACATACCTGGGTTACTGCTTCAATTCTGTGTCAGGCATGTAAAAAAGGCAACCAACCGATGTTTCTCTCTCACATCAATGTTTCTCTCCCCCTTTCTCTCTGTAAGCATGTCCTCGGGTGAGGATTGAAAAAATATATATATTGTGTGTAACATACTGATTTGAGCATGAAAATCTTTATAATCAAATTCTACAAAGCACTTCCATGGTGCCTCCCTTAATTCCTAGAGCCAGTCATAATAAGTTTTTCTTTGAAATGCCTCAGTTCTTTATTTGTGTTTCTGTGTGGGAATGGTCACATTCCACTGCATTCTAGTTATAGGCATGTGTCTTTTTTTTTAATCCTCAACTGAGGATATTTTTCCCATTCCTTTTTTCAGAGAGAGTGGAAGGAAGAGGGAGAGAGAAAGAGAGAGAGAGGAAAATTTGATGTGAGAGGGACACATCGATTGGTTGCCTCCCAGGGGCTGAGCCTGTAACCAAGGTACGTGCCCTTGACTGGAATCGAACCCAGGACCCTTCGGTCTGAGGGCCAGGCTCTAACCACTGAGCCAAAACAGCTAGGGCAGCACATGTGTCTTATCTCCCTACTTAACTTGAGTTTCCTTAGAGCCCAGACCTCCTCTGCATTCCCCTTAGAACCCAGCCGCAGGGCAGGTTCCCAATACACCCTCACAGAATGGACACCATGATTCCCCCCCAACTGCATTTATTTTAATGGGACTTGATCTGCACTATTCCTTGAACCCTGCAGAGTTAGACACATATTAGAGTCTTACAGTCCTAAATTCCAGCCTGCTCCCCTTAGGCAGCAAAGGGTTCGGATCCTTTGTGGTCATTCTCTGAATCGGGAACCAGGCAGGGCCTGTTCAAGGTCATAGTAAATCTCAGACTTATAAATCTTGGCTTCTCTCATTCTGAGTTCTCAAAATTGGCTGTTTAATAGACACATATGTTTGTGAGATTTGGAGGGAGGTCGGCAGAGATTTAAAAAGAACCTCTAAAGTCCGTTATACCACTCACTCTGAAATCTAAGCATTGTAAGCAAAGGAATAAAGGTGAGATTTATTTTTCAGGCTTATCACTTCAGCTTCCTTTTTATTTTTTAAATACTGCTGCTTCAAATGTGTATATTTATTATCAAGTTTCTAATATTCTAGATATTTGACAGAAGCCATAATGAAGGAGTGAAAATAAGGAAAAGAGTAAAGCAACATAAAAAGAACAGTTACCAACAACCAGAGCCCTTGGCCTCAAACCTCAGGCCCCACCATCTAGTGCAGGAGGTGGGGGTGGAGGAGGCGGCCCATGTTGCAATCTGTTTACTGCTAAAAATATTGCTTCACTGCAGGGTATTTATCTCAGCTCCACTTTTATTAAATTCAGCCTACGATTTCCTATTCAAAACTAATTAATACAAAAATAAACATGCTGTTCCCAAGCAGGGGCATAATACGCAAGAAAACACTCTCCTGTTTTCCACCCCAAAAGGCTCATTCTTAACTTTGAATTGTAGTTCAGTGACCAAACCTTTCATTATTTCATCATTCAACAAAACATAAGGTGTGACTTCTCTCCAACCATAATTGCTCTAAGCTTGATGCACCTTCTGAAATACTAGCCAGCGACATTCGGAGGAAGCCTATTTTAGATTCTATTCAAGGTCATAGCAGTATAGTATTTTTGTCTCCCAGCTCGCCAAGGTTAAGAAACCTGACATTTTCACATGACTTTGAGGGGATTTTTTTTCTTCCTTCCGGATGGGATTACTTCATTGAAGGAGAGCCCCTGAATCCAGTCCTTCTTAAATAACACATTGTGAATGGGATGGGGGCTGGGTAAAGGGAGTGGGTTTGGGGGAAGCACTGATGAAAGAGTTTCTTTTTGTCTTTGGAAGGGAGAGGATTATATATTAAAATCAATATCAAATAGACGTTGATGAAAATGCTTAAATATAATGTCAAATAAATTAATAAATTAATTAGTATAAAAGAATACCTCTATACAAAAAAAATCCCATACTCCCAATTTTATGCCTTCTAAAATTTACACTTAATTAAATCAGGTTTTTTTGTTTGCACTCACACAGATGGCTAACGTCACCTCTACAATTCATTCCTGTGTAAATTTACCACACAAAACAGGAACAGTCATTTTTCAAAGTATACAAATACTGGTTACCATGGTAACCAGTTGGAGCCCTGTTTTCAGAGCAAGATGTTAACCACAGGACATTCCAGCTGTGACTCATTGCAAGCACTGGTCCTGCTAAGGGTATGATTTCCCCTGCTTTTGGAAAGCCTAAAGATCTACTAGGTCTGAACAAATATTTGAGGCTGGAATTAAATCCATACCAAGGCAACTAGAAATGAAGAAGAGAAAGAGTGAGAGTCCCACTTTGAATATGCATATCTAATTTGTATAACTGTGTTCACAGGTATTTTTTTAAATACCCGAAATGATGCTTATGTTTTCAAGTTGGTTCAGCTATTCCCTTAAGGAGTCTATTCATTTAGAATTTTTGTGGTTTGGATCCTTCCCCCATGCTGAAATATCTCAGCCACTCTTAGGACATTCAAAGAGGAAGGAAATCTCTTGCCTAGCCACATTTACCAATTTCTATCTGCTTCCTTTGATAATTTGACACATGTGTAGGTTATCAGACCATTAGTGACTTCAGACTCCAGTTGCAATACGAAATGATTTATGGATTCCTACTAAATATTAAGGTGGAATTAAACCCAGAGCCAGCTAATGTGCACCTCAATCTGCTGCCTCAATCAAGTTCATGAACTGTAAGGACTCTCAGAACAGAGTGTGCTTTTAAAATGTCTCTTTGCTGCTAATTTTGCTGCGTGTGTGACTGGAATGAATAAAATTATAACTAAGTGTCTGATATGTATGAGCTTGGGATGTATAGAATGACTTCTAAACCTATTTTAGAAACACAGGAACAACTAAAACTCAGCCCTTTCCATTTTAGATTGGCATCTAATTCATGCTTTTTAAAGCTACTGTTCTTCTTATTTACTTCAAAATTTTCTGGAAGAAAATTCTTTTATACAGTGGAGTATTAATTTTAAGAATTAAATAAATATAGTCCAGGTAGATAAATTAAAGAGTTTCTTTGGAATTAAAATATGTCATTAAAATATGGAGAAACTCCTGGGGGAAAATGTTGGTCCATTTTCTATTACAAATGTTTAAAAACTCCAAAAACTTTATCCATCAGAGTTTAATATGTAATTAAAATAATTCATCTGCCACGAGGGAGAGCTCTGGGTATAGTAGAGAAGCTTCTAATCACTGTTGAGAACAGAAATTCTGCTCAGTGCAAGAGACATAGTTAAATTTCTGAGAACTGTGCTTAATGAGTTCCCACAGTGGTTTTTTGAAGTCAGTGTCACTAATAGAAGACTAGAA